CCAGTGGATTTGTTTTTATGTTGGGAAGCGCCGTGGTTAGCTGGGGTAGTAGAAAGCAGAACTGTGTCACAATGTCTACTATGGAAGCAGAATATGTCGCGCTATCGGAGGCGGCACAGGAGGCAGTGTGGCTACGACGCCTGTTGTCCGAATTAGGTGTTGAACAGCAACAGCCAACGACGATTAACGAAGATAACCGCAGCTGTATCGACTTCGTTTCCCTCGAGCGCCAAAACAAGCGCAGCAAGCACATCGATACTCGACAACATCATGCGAAGGACTTATGTACGAAAGGATTAATTCAACTGGTCTACTGTCCAACTGATAGGATGGTGGCCGATGTTTTCACCAAACCTTTAGGACCGCAGAAGATCAATCAGTATGCAGCGGATCTAGGGCTAGCCAAGCTGATTGAAGGAGAGTTCGTTCAGTAGTTCAGCGAGGAGGAGTGTTGAACGTATCTATATTTTTATCATAGGGGTGCTGATCCACTGAACTAAAATTACAAAGCGCCCTATGCTCACCTTTTTTGTTATTTCTCTTGAAATTTTTTCCTTGCCGATAATATATAACACGTTTGCAATCGAAAGGTTGTGTCGCGAATAATTGTCCGAGTAAATATCACATTTTCCCCACGCGGTAATCGGATTCCCTGTGCTGTTCTCGCCTGTTGTGGCCATTTCCTTCCAACAACAACACTCTTTTTGACGTTTTCCTATTCATCACCAGAGATTGAATCGATCGTTTAGTTTCTATTAAAAAGGCGTATGGGAACTTAACGATCGATTCAGCCTCTGGTGGTGAATAGGAGAACGTCAAAAAGGGTGTTGTGAGCGAGGTTGTGAGCAGACATTTTTGCCTTAAGACATAGAAAGCGGAACACTTTTTTACTTTTCCTAATAAACATTGTCGCATCTGTTTGCAAGAAAGCGATTGGCTTTGCAGAAAAGACTACAGGGACAAGTGACGGAGTGTCCCTCCTCATGGAGGCGAACGATCTCCTGAATAATACCGCTAACCTGGAGCTCCTCCCTGTAGCCAGGGTCCACTGGTGTGGAGCCAGAGGTTGGAACTCACCCGGTCTGTCCATCGATCCGGCGATAAAGAACAGTTTCCGGGCGGGAACCCCTGCGCTAGTGAGAACAGTAGCCGAATTACATCGAACCAAATACAACAATCATCAAGTACGATACACCAGTTGTCCCACAGCTGTCTACAGCAGCAGTCGATTTTTTATTTCGGTGTGAACCACGCGATAGCCTGTTTTCGAGACTCGCTATTATATAGTTGCTCTTTGTTCGTTGCTAGCAGTTCGGTGCCTTTTGTTACTACGGTGCAAGATGTGTTTAGCTTCAGCCACCATGATGCTAAACCAAACATCGGAGAGATTGCAAATTTCGCCAAAGCACTCGACGCGGATCGGGGTGAAATGGAAGCTGTTTATCGCATTGGTGAGGAAAGGGGAGTATTCATCAAGTTCAAATCAGAGGAAGCGATGCTCCATGCTCTGACGTTCAATTCGGAGGATTTAATCTTCCATTATGCGAATGGAACGACGGCAAAGGTACGCATGTCGCATGCTGGTGAATACATTCAATATGTGCGTGTGTATGACTTGCCACTAGAGGTACCCGACAACGAGCTGGATAAAGTGCTGGGGAAATATGGAAAAATTAAACGCATCATCCGGGAGAAATTTCCATCTGATCTGTGTTTTGAGGTATATACATGGATACGCGGTATATATATGGATGTGAAGAAGGAAATCCCCACGTCATTACATTTCTTCAATCGCAAAGGAAATATATTTTATGATGGCAACATCTTTGTTTTCTGTGCAAGGCGGACGGACACCGGAAGCTTTCCTGTCCCATGCGGAAGGCTGGGAAGGAAGCGGAGAAGCAACCTAAGGAAAAAGGAAAGCAGCAAAGTGAAAGAAAACAAAACAGCAGCAGTACGTATGCTGGTGTAGTGGTGGAAGGTGCGTCGCTAGTCATTAGCGACCAGGAAACGGACACGAGGTTGGAGATGCTGAATGAAAATAACGAAATGGACGTGACGACCCCGACGACCGACGAGAGTAGCGGAGAGCATGCAACGGGAAACGACGTTCAGAAGCAGCAGCAGCGATCACGATTCGGGTTCAATGAAAATGAGGAAAGAAAGAAGTTGCGTGCACGGGAGAAGATCGCTTTGTCGCCGCTTCGATCGCCACCCAGAAAAATCCTATGATAAAATGCATTTTTATATATTTTTTTTGTATTTTGAGTACTAACATTGGTATTCCATGTACTCGGCTCCGCTAAGTTATTTTTATAACATTTGAGCCTTCCAAATAAACGAAATGAAAAAAAAAAAAAAAAAAGTACGATACACCGACGGATCCCGGAGGGGCGGTAGAGTTGGTATTGGAATTTCCGATCCGGAGCTGTGCACCTTTTACCGACTACCAGACCCATGCAGCGTTTTCACTGCTGAAGCAGCCGCCATTCTCGTAGCTGTCACCCTACCCTCGATCAAACCGATCGTCATATTCTCCGACTCTGCAAGTGTTTTAGCAGCTCTCCAGTCTGAAACAGCTAAACACCCCTGGATCCAGGGTATCCAGCAGTTCGCACCTAAGGAAACAACCTTTGTCTGGGTCCCCGGACACTGTGGGATCAGAGATAATGAGGAAGCCGACCACCTGGCGACATCCGGAAGACAGTCCAACTTTTACACCAGAAAGGTTCCGGCCCAGGACATAAAGCGGTGGATCACAATCACTATATGGAACTGCTGGACTAACGAATGGATGCGATCTCGAGACTTATTTATCCGGAAGGTAAAAGGGGATACCAGGAAATGGGAGGATCCACCTGAACACCGACTTCAAGTCATTCTATCTCGGTTGAGAACCGGACATACCAAAGTCTCCCACAACATGAGAGGCGGAGGCGGATTCAGACGGCAGTGCGAGACATGCAATGTTCCACTTACAGTGGAGCATTTCTTATGCGAATGCCCCCAGTACCACGGACCCCGTTCCCTTTACGGGATCTCAGATAGCATCAGGGATATTGAGACAATGATTCGGACTCAAAACTATACCTCGGCAACAAATACTGACTCGGACACGGATGAACGAAGATATTAAACCAAGCAAAGTACGTACAAGGACACGGAAATGGACGAATGACGGCACTAAAATTAAACACAGCGACTACAAAGGAACAGGACACGGAACTTGACCACTTGACCACGATAATCCAAAAGGACAGTAACATCGGTAGCATTAAAGGAAAATTCCCAACTCTGAAATATTAAAACTCTGTTATTATGGAGACTCCCTTCTGGAGCTCCCAACCATCTCCTAACTCCGTATCCTCGGGGTTCTCCTCTGGAACCTCACCTCCCCTTCCTATTAGCTCTGTAATTAGGGGGACTCCCGTCTGAAGTCCCCACCCCTCGTATTCAAGAGATGAACCAGCCCAAGGCTGAAAATCTCTCTAAAGCAAAAAAAAAAAAATATTTTAATTGATTTTTTCGCCAGTTAGTCGTCTGTCACTTCGTTTGTGCTATTACGTTCTCACGAAAACAACAATCGATAATATTTAGCTATGACCTGCTTGGCTCGACAATCGAACGCGTGAATCAGGTGAAAGAATTGGGTGTGATCTTGGATTCGCAGCTTTCATTCAAGCAACACATTGCATATGTTGTTGATAAGGCGTCAAGAACATTAGGGTCTAGATTAGGGTTCATTTTTAGGATAGCTAAAAACTTCACTTGTTCGCTTGTTCGATCGACGTTTGAGTATTGTTCAGCGGTTTGGAACCCAAACTACAACAACGGTGCCGAGAGAATTCGGCAATACCTTAATCTATTATCGTCAGGGGTTAAACAAAGTCCTATAGCACACAAACTTGGCCAATAGATGCTCTGAAACACAATGTATCCTCATGCCAAAATAAAGCTCTCAAGGACATTGTTTACCCCCCGACGATAATAGGTTAAGGTATTACTGAAGCCAACATTTCCCCTAATTGAATTTGTGTAATTGGGATTGAACCCAGACCCACTGGGGGTGAGAAAGCAGTCGGCGCAGGCAGGATTCATTACAACAGTCCCACCAACATATGTTTTCATCGTTAAGGTATGTAGGTACTTACTCCCGATAGCAGTCAATCTCCTGCTTGATGTGTACTTCCCGGTGTTGGAAATTTTTATTGCGAAGCATCAACACGCTTAAGTTGTGCGCTGGGTTGCGCCCTGTATTTGCGGCCATCGTTACTGGAACTGGATTGTTTATTTCACCACTCAACACTCAAACAATCTATCCAGCTTTTTACGCTACAGGGCTTATGGTCGTAAGCTCCAACTCAAATTAACTTTTAATACAGACTCTGGTGGCGAGAGGACGTCCTTAGACGTCCAAAATTAAGAGGAAGAGGAGACAATAGGGGGGCTTTTTTGAACCAATTTTTTGTCAAACGCAAACCAGCGTCTGATTGGTCAGGTGAACGTATAGAAATGCGCGAATTTTTACAACAGGGAATCTATTTTCTTGTATTGTGACAGTCGACTGCGTCGCCCACAATGAAATTGTTTTTGCACGGAGAAGAAGAACACGTCACAGACAAAAAGAAGCCAGTTGTCTCCTCTTCCTCTTAGTTCCAAAAAGGACACCACAAAGAAAACAAATACCGATCCTGTTTGGATGCTCTGGCAAAATGATTGCGATTAACTCTGATGTCAACATCAAAGCAGGCGGACATTCTTGATAGGGATTTAATCCGAGGATAATACCGGTTGGTTAGAGTCCACGCTGGCACGAGGACGACGATCAACCGTCTGAACATTATTATTAATGATATTAAAAGAAAATTCTTGAAGCCATAAATGAACCATCTGTTGATAATTTTTACCGGCGGCAAGCTATGCGCATGACCGTGGCCCTCTTCCTTGGTTGATTTCCTTGGAAACGGATCGTGGCACACACAACAGTTTTTCCGCTTATACCTACTTTGAGTGAGACTTCAGATTCCGCAAGTTGAATAATCATGAATCAAAAACCGGTTTGGGAGGATCGTGAAATCAAGTTCGATATTACCAACATGTAAGCTGGGCGTAACATTATAATCCGTATATCGATATGCAATGTACACGAGTTATCCCTCCTTCCCGCAGCTGTAAGACCATCCGCAGTGGGGAGCAACCACTCGAAATTCTGGATTCCATAGAGGACACCAAAGGCAACCTGGGTGATCGCGGTCGACTTCTGGTAACCAACCTCCGGGTCATCTGGTACTCGGTCACCTCCAACCGGTTTAGCCTATCGATTGGCTTCACCTGCGTTCTCACGATGAACACTAAAACGGTGGTTTCCAAGGTACGAGGAACTACCCAGGCGCTGCATATCCTGAGCGTCGGCAATAATTCGCGGTTTGAGTTCATCTTCACCAATCTCACCGTGAACAATACGAAGCATTTCTCGTCGATCTTCGATATCTATCGACTCTATCAAGCCTCCTTTCTGTACCGAGAGCTCAAGCTGCGTTCGGCAATCGTCAACGGTGGCCAGTTGAATGTGCTAGCTCAGGAACAGGTCTTCAACACCGTCAATGGAGTGTGGAACCTGTCCAGCGATCAGGGAAACCTGGGTATCTTTATTCTGACGATCGTCCGGCTGGTCTGGTTTGCCGAAATGAATAATAGCTTTAATATATCGCTCCCTTACATGCAAATTTCCGACATTCGCATTCGAGAGTCAAAGTATGGTCCCGCGCTGGTCATCCAAACGTTGGATACGGCCGGATCGTATGTGCTCGGATTCCGCATTGATCCACAGGACAAACTGACGGACGTATACAAGGAGTTGTTGTCGCTGCATACTGTGTACACCGAGACACCCCTCTTTGGAGTGTTTTATGAACAGAAACCGGAAGTAGCTCGGTCTCCGTCGGAGTCTATCGACGACATCGAAGAATTGGACAAGACGACAGGTGCTGAAATCAATGGTAAATTTACGGCATACCTAGCCGAATCGGATCCCGGTGGCCGACGGAGGAAGCCGTTCTACTGCAAGGAGCTGGGCTTCGCCATGGAATCCATCAAAGACGGGTACACCTTGAAAGATCTGTGGGAGGTGGTACCGAGCTCGTCGTCGTCGGCTTAGGTGAGGAGGTGGTAAATTGGCGAACTTGGATCGTTTTTGTCAAGTCCTGGTCTCTCTTCACGAATGGGTGCGTGCAGGACGGGTTTCAAAAATGAGATATGGAGCTGTCTACAAACCACGTGGACATTTCAGGGAGTGATTATTAAAATCTCACAAGAAATGCCCTCGTGGTTTGTGGACATGTATTTTTCAGACACAGTTAGATCTATTCTGCGAGCCGTGTGACTCTCTGTAACTAGTGAGGTAACTCTCTATTTGATTTGTACGTAGAATCACCACGTCTGTCACATCGCTAGTAACAGAGAGTCACACGACTCACAGAATAGGCAAGTTCGTGAAAATTTAATTTGCTGAAATTTTGCAATATTTCCCAACACTGTAGAAAAGACCTTACTTCACTTTAGAAAGCTGTCCTGCTCGCAGGGAAAGATTTTTTCGTGAGCGTAAAAAAAAAGTGAAAAGAATTTGTTTACGATGGCTTTAAAAACAAGTGCTTTCATCCTATCTAAGCGTGTAGGGTAATATTTCACTACGAGAGACGAAAATGATGGCACATTTTCAGCGTCATATTTATTCATTAAAGGCTGGAATGCAAAAAATAAAATGCTTTTTTTGAAAAATAAAACTATTCCAATTAAAATAACGATTGTAAAATTGGTTCTTGTACAAAAATTTGCGATAGAACAAAATAATGCAACCCGATCTGCGACGTTCAGATCAGTAATAAATCATCTAAAATAGTCACACATATTTACATGTAGTTATCTTACCGCTCGCAATATTAGTAGGATTTTTTTGCCACGATGCTTCCCAGAAAAAGAAAATGTAACGAATAGTTAAACTTCCCGTTTCCGTTATTCGAATTTGTCCTCGGTCGTCAATCATCAATTCAATATGGCTTTTCGATAGGTGATGTCATCTACATGATGATTTGCGGTTCGGGAACGCTCAGTGATATGCTCTTGTGTGGTAGCACCTGTCCACCATTTATGTAGATTTCGTCCTGCACGATGACATCCTCTCCCAGCACAGTGGTTCCTTCCAATCGAACCCACCGGCCGACCATACAGCGCCACCCTATGATGCAGCTGTCCAACCATGAGTGCGACTTGATTACGGCGCCCCGCAAAACCGTACACCGCTTGATGCAGACCCCGTCCTCGATGATCACATCCGGACCGATGGTTACGTTGGGTCCTATGCGGCAGCCGGCACCGATTTTTGCACTCGGATCAATCAACACATTGCCAACATATCCGGCCGGGCCGTCGTACAACATCTCCGGATGGCGCTGGCGGACAGAATTCAAATATAGGCACATCCCAGTCAGGAAATCTCTCGGCTGGCCGATGTCCATCCAGAATCCATTCAACTCGAATGCATACAACTGCTGCTCGCGGGACATGATTGGAAATATCTCTTTTTCGATTGAGGTCGGTTTTAATTGAATCCGGGATAGTATCGATGGGTTCAATATATACAACCCTGCGTTAATCTTATTGCTAATGAACTCCTGAGGTTTCTCGATAAAGCTTTTGATACAACCATCCTCCGAGTACAATACAACTCCATATTTCGATGGTTCTTCAACCTTGGTTACAACGATGGTCCCTTCCTTACCGTGACTTCGGTGAAACTGCTCCAACTCTTTGAACGGAAAATCACAAATGACGTCTGAATTGAGCACGTAGAAAGGTTCGGAACTCTTCGCTAGGATACCTTTCGCCAGTGCTAACGGTCCAGCCGTTCCTAGCGGCTCCGTCTCGTGTGAAAAGATCAATTTAACACCGAGTTTTTCCACTTTTTGCTTCAGCTCTGCTTCCATCTGTTCCGCTCGGTAGGAGACGGCCAGAATTACCTCATGGACTCCCGCTTCGACTAGGGCTTCAATTTGGTGCAGCAGAATGGGCTTGTTTGCGAATTCTACCAGCGGCTTCGGTGTGCTGAGGGTTAGCGGACGCAGTCGCGTTCCATATCCACCGACAAGAATCAAGGCTCGCATTCTTATCAGTCAATTTTTTTCACTTTAGTAGGTGACTAATTCAACTTTTCTATTGACACGTAACGCTCGATCGCTAATCTTCAATCACTTTTATCCGAAATACTATTGGAAAAGAGCAGCGATGTTAAAATCGATTTTGTTTGCTTACTCTAAGCATCAAATAATGAAAACTTACCGGCAGATCTTGTGGCAAGGCTAACGAGCTCCGATCCCTTCTTGACTCTTGGGCGTTCTACACGTCATTAGATGAAACCATCGAAAATGGTTAGAGGATGTTCGAACACCAGCAGCAGCGGAAAATAGCAAAAAGATAGGTTTCTTCAACGTTGCTTACCTGTGATGGAATATGTTCAAGGTAAAAATGTACTTTTCCTAAGCGTGCTGCTAATCAATCTCTTCCAGTACGATGGAAAATAAAAAAAACGATTAGTGATAGGTAAGTAAGGGTTTTCAGAAGCTTAATATGATAACTGAAGCTCTTCTGATAAAAGTCCAACGCCGAATGCACAACGTATACAAACATTAGTTGGGGTAGAACTGTCAGAATGTCAATTCGGGAGGAGAAAAGGGCAGCTCGTCACCGGTGGAATGGCTGCGTTCTGATGTAAACATTGAGTACGCTAAAAGTGAAACACTCAATTTAGGCTACTGTGTCGTCCAATTACTGTCCTGCTCGTGTTTCTTTTGTTAGGAGCGCCGGCTCGAAAACTTTGGTGACGAACCTGCTATTGCAATGTTTCAGTGTACCACATGGCAACACTACTACTGGATTGTACTACCATTTTCACCAAAATGTACTAGAATGTTTTGGTTCTATCTCTTTCACTCTACTCAAAACTGAAATGCATAAAAAAATGACAAAATGAAAAACTCTTTACACACACAGAGTTTAGATTACCGAAGTCAGTCAAATTTTACTGGGTTTTTTAACAGCTGAGTTTTCAGTAATCAACCCAGTAGTTTTTACTTTTACTGAAAACTCCGGAAATCACAGAATCTCGGAACTGTCAAAAAATTACCGTTTAAACGAAGACATCAAATCAAGAAGTCTGGCAACTCTTCCAGAATCCAAGCGAAAGATACAGTAGCGCTGCCCTAATAAAAATAACCATAAAAAAGAGCTTAACGACGTGTTCGGGGTATCATCCAAACCATTTGTGGGATAGTTTACCTATTCGGGATAAAGTTCGTTTATGGTATTTGTTTATTAGGGTGGGCTCGGGCGAAGGTGGCAGTACCATAGAGGTAACTCTAAGACTAGAAGGTCCCGAAGAAAATCATTATTATTTTTGGCTCACTCAGTACCAGAACAACGGTCCCAAGCAGTCCCAAGCTATTTCACTCACCCCTGCATGTTATGCATGAATCCACACACCCCTGATGTTATCTGTCAAACTTTCATAGCGAATCAAAACAAACATAGTGTAGTAATAGAATTTCAACTAGAATAGGGTACGTTAATCGTTTGCTTGGGACCAATAGGCTACTAAAGTGGTGAGCCAATTTAAAATCGTTAGTTTCGTATTGATTGTTGGAAGTACTGCATATAAAAATGAGCAAATACACAAACCCTTCGTCTGAGGTTGTGATCTTTGATGTCAAATCGTTCGAAGCATTTACCTTTGAGCGGCAGATGACGTGATTGTGTCGGTCTCATAGCGGTTGTATGAGAAAATGGAAGAGATGCCAATCTTCTTGAAATGTTGTCTTCGGTTTAAGTCAGTAAAGAAATTGCTGTCTATGTCAGTAATTCCTTTGTTTACCTTTATTTTTGCTGAGTTTTTCAGTATATCTATTTCAGCATTTTGATGAATAAGTCAGTAAATTCATCAAAAATGTTTATTTACTGGTACAGTCGAATCAACAATCAATACGAAACTAACGATTTTAAATTGGCTCACCACTTTAGTAGCCTATTGGTCCCAAGCAAACGATTAACGTACCCTATTCTAGTTGAAATTCTATTACTACACTATGTTTGTTTTGATTCGCTATGAAAGTTTGACAGATAACATCAGGGGTGTGTGGATTCATGCAGAACATGCAGGGGTGAGTGAAATAGCTTGGGACTGCTTGGGACCGTTGTTCTGGTACTGAGTGAGCCAAAAATAATAATGATTTTCTTCGGGACCCAGTGGTCTTAGAGTTACCTCTATGGTCGAATTTCGCTCGTTGGGCTATTTTTAAGTGGGCTACGTTTTAGTTGGGCTCCCGTTAGTTGGGCTGTAGCAACCGGTGGAAACTAACGATTTAAAATTGGCTCACTACTTGACTAGCCTATTGGTCCCAAGCATATCGATTAACGTACCCCATTCTAGTCGAAATTCTAGTACTAAACTATGTTTGTTTTGATTCGCTATGAAAGTCTGACAGATAAAATGAGAGATTGGTGGATTTTCCTATATTTCGAGGGGTGCATCTATTAGCTTGGGACCGAAGAGCGTACTAGAGCTGAGCCAAAAAGTTGAGCATGTTTCTTCGGGACCTTCTGGTCTTAGAGTTACCTCTATGGTTATACCATAGAGGTAACTCTAAGACTAGAAGGTCCCGAAATAACGTGCTCAACTTTTTGGCTCAGCTCTAGTACGCTCTTCGGTCCCAAGCTAATAGATGCACCCCTCGAAATATAGGAAAATCCACCAATCTCTCATTTTATCTGTCTCAAGCTAATGGATTCACCCCTTGAAACATAGGAAAAACGAATAACCCCTCATTTCATCTGTCAAACTTTCATAGCGAATCAAAACAAACATTGCGTAGTACTAGAATTTCGACTAGAATGGGATACGTTAATCGTTTGCTTGGGACCAATAGGCTAGTCAAGTAGTGAGCCAATTTAAAATCGTTAGTTTCGTATTGATTGTTGGTTATACCAAGCACTGGTTTAAACATTTTTCAGGTTCTATAATTGTTTTTGTCTCCCAGAAGCTCCGTTACCGACATGATTTTTTTTTTCACTTCTTAATGAAAGTCATCCGATGCTAACGCAAAAAATCTGGTTGCCGTTTACTCTGACGAAAAATAAATCACAAACAATGCTGATTGTTCGCCAAGCGGGGGAGGTGACTGTCAAATACGAACAATCATCGCCTACCTCGCATAACTGGTTCCAAACGACAACAAGCCATAAGCATCGACGGTTTGTAGATGTTTGGATCCTAATTCATTAGGATTGGGTGATCTTGGATCGATCCTTGAAAAATCGATCTTTTTCATCGCGATTTCCGACTTTTCGGATCGATTCTTTGCCCACGAAGAGATCGAAAAAATCGATCTCTTCTTTCGATCTTAAAAAAATAGGTTTTAATTTTTTTAAGTGTATTTAAATCGAAAAAAAAAAAACGATTTACTCTCACCACAGGCTGCGTAGTACATTTAAAGAACATAACGTCAACATCAGCGTCGCTCCCTACAATGACGTCACTATTTGCGTTTCCGATATGTACGAATACAGCACCATTTGAAGGTTTGTTCTCCCTCCCTCCTGTGCTCATTGCTCCTTACCGTCACGACAACATTTAATTGAATATTTTAAAGAAAAGAATTTCTTGGGGTACTAACGTAAACAAGCGTATTAAAATAAAAATCAAAAGATCGATCTACCGCAGATCTATCTACCAAAGATCGATCTACCAAAGATCGATTCTTTGGTACCGATTTAATCAGTGGATCGATCCTAGACCCTGAAAAAATAACCATACAATTACCTCGACAATTACTATAAAATAAAATACAATTACAAGCAAATCTATTGCCAACAATCGATCTTAGTACACGAAATTTTAACATATTGTTATCACAATAGATGTACAATACGTCCCAGTTTTCAACAATAGAACAACAATACAATTAATGGTAAATGGCTCAGGTTTGTTCGGGAAAAATTGATTTTTCGTATGGTTAAGATGCATAACGACCCCCTTGTTCTATTGTATACTACCGCATTTACCATAGATTCTATTGTAGAAACAATATATTAAATTGTAAATTAATCGTTGTAGAGAATACGATTTATTATAAATACAATAATCTCTATTGTATGGTTACAATACATTTCATTGTACCTCTACGGATCTTTTTTTATGAGGAGTCAATAATAAGATCGATCCGTCAAGCTCGATCTTTCTCAGAAGATCGCTCAATTCTATAATTCACATTATGGAAAATCAATGAGCGTACACAGGTGAGGCCCAGTGAATTTGTTATCTCTTTCGTTCTTCGGCTGTTTAAATGAATGACGGAGTTGGACGTCACACTCGTATAAGAGCAACCGTAACGGTCGTTATCATTTGCGCGACTATTTTAACAGCGCACAGCGCTCTCATTTTAGTTTAGTCACTCTTCTCCACACCGGTCGCTGATATCGCGGTTATCAATTTACTCGCCTTTGTCCGTACCGGTAGTGAGCATTTTGACATTTCTACGAATAGCAACCAGGGGCCTGGCTGGCGGCCATGTTTTTGATGCTATCATCTGCTCTTGTCTTCCTGCTTATAATACGATTTTCCGTCCCTTTCCGCCATGTATACGTCAGGCGGGCCGTATTTAAATAAGGCCCGTGATGTTGTCTACTGTCAAACGCGTAGGATTGATATAGGGTTGCCAGGCCCCTGATAGCAACCTTTCTCCAGCGCTGCTATCATAGAGGTAACTCTAAGACAAGTAGGTCCCGAAGAACCCAAGTAACCAACAAGCCCGCTAATTCGCCTTTTTGCAATATAAGGATAATATGCGGCTAATATAAAGCTTAGCATGCCCTATGTTAGCCGTGTATAAGCCTTATATTGCAAAAAGGCGAATTAGCGGGCTTGTTGATTACTTGGGAAACGTGCTCAACTTTTTGGCTCACCTCTGGTACTATCTTCGGTCCCAAGCTTGTCGAATCACCCCTCGAAACATAGGTAAAACCAATAACCCCTCATTTTATCTGTCAAACTTTCATAGCGAATCAAAACAAACATTGCGTAGTACTAGAATTTCAACTAGAATAGGGTACGTTAATCGTTTGCTTGGGACCAATAGGCTACTAAGTGGTGAGCCAATTTAAAATCGTTAGTTTCGTATTGATTGTTGCTGCTATCGCGCTGCTAAATTTGGTAAATTGCGACACAACTCGGTTACTCAGATGTTGACATTTGATAAAAGGGTAAACTTTACCCATTTTAATAGAAATTAGATGACATGAGCGCTGCAATAGCTCTATCAAACATAACCTCACCCGACTACACAGAAAAAAAAGTTGTTGAATACAGGCTTCCAATTGCTCATTACAACTAAAATCTAGGGGAAGGACAGGTCCAAGTATCAGCATCAATATCGATGGTGGAAATATTAAATATTTTAATATGTGTGATATTTGCGAATCTTATACTTAGTCTGTTTTTTTTTTGTTATTGACTATTTTTGGTTTGAAATGTACATTTGACATTCGTTTAATAAAAAAAGGATTTCAAACCAGAGGCAAGTCATTCTTTGATGATCTTGCTGGCCATCGCCACCAAAATCCGCTCCTTGTTCTAAAAAATTCGGCATTATTTGTTAGCTGATCTCAGTGCACATAATCGGTCGCACTTCTGTCCCAGAAAATAGTCATTAATTTCCACGAATTCTTCATCGTCTGCGAACCAATGTGCTGTCTTCCGATGGAACGGGAATCGACTGACTATACGCCTCCCGTAAATGGAGTCCCAGAGTGATGGTTCCATGGTCGTATTACACTCGATTTGCAATGAGCCTGCAACTGGCAAAATTTGCTGCTGGGGGAACGTACAGTATCGTTTTTATCATGAAAAGTCGAAGTCGACATCGATCAGATCTATCGAAAACGAAAATCTAGGCAAAAATGAAAGGTGCAGCAAACATAAAAAACAACGGTGAAACGTCATTGAAGTTACACTGTTATTTTTTTTTACTTTGAAGCTGTCCGCTTGACAGTTAATATCATTAATATTTATACTTAAAATTATAATAATTACCAATTTGAGCAATTTTTACACCAAATATTACTTCAGATCAAGTTGTACTTCCCCTAGGCTAAAATGCTATTTTTCGTAATTATGAAACAATGAGATACTATAATGATAATTTTTATTTGTAAGATTCAAGAAGAGGTGGTAAAGTTTGTGTATGACATATAAACCTTGTCAATTTTGCTTTCAGAAGATCACAACTAGCGATTAGCTGTAACGATGATAAACGCGATGAGCGAGCAATTAGCTATCATAAAATCACTAGTGGTGACCTTCTGAAAGCAAAATTGACAAGATTTATATGCCATACACAAACTTTACCACCTCTTCTTGCATCTTTCAAATAAACATTATCATTATAGTATCTCATTGTTTCATAATTACGAAAAAATAGTATTTTAGCTGTAATGAGCAATTGCAAGCCTGGTTGAATATTACATCAAAACTGCTGCAACCAGGTCAATCCATCGGTTGTGTAATATAACGCTGTACGATGTACATCGATTTTGCGAACAAAATTACATCCATTGTTGTAATATTGTATCTGCTTTTTGATATTACATCATTATTTCATACATCAGCTTGAATTACATTGATCGATATTACATTTTTTTTGTTGTGTAGCTCCTCTAGCCTAGTATCAACAATCAATACGAAACTAACGATTTTAAATTGGTTCCCTACTTGACTAGCCTACACAGCAAAAAAAAGTTGTTGAATATTACATCGAAACTGCTGCAACCAGGTCAATCCATCGGTTGTGTAATATCACATTGTACGATGTACATCGATTTTGCGAACAAAATTACATCCATTGATGTAATATTGTATCTGCTTTTTGCTATTACATCATTTTTTCATACATCAGCTTGAATTACGTTGATCGATATTACATTTTTTTTTGCTGTGTATTGGTCCCAAGCAATCGATTAACGATTTACCTGCGCCATTTTTAACGTTAAGAAAATTTCGATTAGAACTATTTACCCAGAATCATGGTAGATTCTACTCGTCAGAACAAAATTAGTTTGCCCAGATTTTGACAGCTCCTTACTGGATACAAGAATGGGTGCCATTTACCCAGTCACTGGATGGATTCAGAATAGCGTGCGCAGCATTTTCTCTTGGCGGGACTCTTATTATAACATCGACTCATATAACATCGACTGTGCCTAAAAGCACGCAGCCAGTTTTGAGTAATTTTCATTTTCCAGAATTGGGCTTCATTTTGTCGTGTTTTTGCAGGCGTGTAAACATGAAAGTTGTCAGAAACTGAGGCTGTGGTCCATTTCGTGAATTTTCACTTAAATTTGACACTTCGAAACTAAATTATAATGTTCGAAAATCCCTCTGTTGTTGATCGGCCAATTTTCGAGAAGGTGTGTGTCAAAATTGATTCCTTGTCTGTCAGATATAAGTCTGCTGGAATAGCAGGTTAATTTGGAAATTTTCCATCTGTCAAGTTTAAGTGAAAATTCGCCAAATGGAACACAGCCTGAAAAACTCTCATCTGTGTAGATTTTAGAAAAAGTTTCAGGTCCACAACTCCTATTTAATTCCACTAGTTTGTTTAAGAAAAGGCTGCTAATAACTCTAGCAAGTAAGTATTTGTGTAATCAAATGTATTTTGTTAGGAAGTTCGTCAAATTATCTTCTTTAGACGCCATAATGTCATCACAGAAGCCGGTTGAAGAAAACATCGTTTCCACTGAACACAATGGCGAATCTACAGAGGAAAGCCCTGCTAACGGTGCTGAACTGGAACCACAGAAACTGCCGGAAGAGACTCCGTTAGAGCAGGGGAAAGAAGTTGCTACAGATGACGCTGAGCCCGAACAGTGTCAGAAGAATGATGTTCCACTAGATAAGAAGGAAGATGCGGAAGAAGAAGACGATCATGAATCGGTCCCGGAAGATTTGAACGATTTTGTTGTGCTGGATGAAGCGGAAATTACTGAATCAGAGGGCGATGATCCACCGCAGGAACATGATAATGATGATGAGGAGGATGAAGAATCGATGCAATGGGATTGCCCATTGGAGCGTCTGGCATCGAGAACGTATACCGATAAAGAGCTCCAACCAACGGAGCTGGATCCACGTTGCAAACCGAATTGGCCGCTAGCCGCGTACTGGCCGGTTTATGTTGGAAACTTCCGTTTGTTCAAGAAGTTCGATTCGGATTACAATTGTTCTCATGCGGTTCACAAGTATTTCGCTTCGAAGGGCTTACCAACTTTTATGGTCTATCGTTTGAAGGATTCGTTTTTCGAGGAATATCAGAAACGGGTTGGGTTTTACGATATGTTGGTATATTTTTGCAGCAAGAAGGATGCAACCAGAGCCATCAAATGGTGTCATCGTGATCTGTACTATGGGCACAGGTTGAACGTGTACTGCGGTCGTACAACGGCTATGTTTCCGACGTTTCCGAACAAGAAGTTCAAATCCTATCGGTTCAAGCACAGGAAAGCAGAAGATAAGCTCGAGACGGAGAGTAACTTGGAAAAATATTTGAGTTGCTATGGGAAAATCATTTGCATCAGCAAGCAGGATTTCGATAACGTCCTGGTGCAATTCACTCGAACACCGTGGCCTGTGAGATTCCCAAAGGATAATCGTGTGCAACTATTTACGATTACCAGACCTGTTCCCAAGCAGCGATTCGTTGAAGGGAACATCGAGCAGCAACTTACCAAGGAGATTGCCGAGAATCCCAGGTTTATGCGAACGCGACTGGTATACAAACTGTTGTTGTCTATCAAGCATGGAGTTATTCCGGAGATGCTGCGGCCGTGGGAGAAAGCGGAGGTGGAAGAAATTGTAATCGAACAACGCCGTCAAGAAAACTGGCGTCAGAGGAGTTCGTACAATCCTAACGTTAGAGTAAGTTTGAGTTTTGTAAGTGAGTGCAGTCCCCTTTTCTCATCTATCATTTTGACATTTAGGACACCTTCAAACGCAGACACGATGATTTCAACTATGGTTCGCCGTCGAAGAGCAGACGTCAGCTTATAAGAGAGGCAAAATCACTGGAGTATCAGTTGATGTGTATCAAGACCAAAATCAACGAAGGCAAGCCCGCTCCAGTGAGTTCTTCTTTTCGTAGTAACTAACTGCTTGAAAGCTACGGTTAAAGTTTCGTAAAATTTTCAGCCTAAATTGCCACCACAGCCCAAATTGCCTCCACAGAAGAATGTCGTCCCCAAGGTGGTGGTGCAGAACAAGGACTTGGAACCGGAACCGAAACCGAAACGGCAGAAAACCGAAACTCAACTTATTCGCCAGCGGATCAGAGGCGCCCGACGTACTCGGAACAGATTCCGCAAGGATGTGTTCGTGCGTCCGTCGGTTAATGCGGAGAAGAATAAACCGGAGGCGGATAATTGAATCATCAGGAATTTACATCATCTCCATTGTATTGAACTCAATCAGAATTTTCTTTTGTTGTTGGATTGCAATACCTAAATAAAAGACCACCATCATAAATGATAGAATGTAATTTGTGCATTTATTTGTTTCTGACGGAAAAACGTCCTTCCCCACAATAATATTCTGAATATGGTGTCCTTGGGTACTCCCGTAGCTGTTAACCATCCATTGGTGTTTGTGGATAGAGGGTGTCCTCTTTCCCCACTTACTGGGTTGTTCTTTGCAAGCAGGGATGCCGGATTTGACGATGGGTATTTGAAATTTAGGGCAAGGTTGCAAATACTCATTTCGCATAAAAACCTGTTAATTTCGCTTCATGAGAGTCGAAATCAGTGATTTTATAATTTCCAACTCATTCGCTCGGCGATAAAAAAAATCGTTGATTGTGACGCTCAGAATGAGAAATTGACAGATTTTGTGTTAAACAAATGCATCCACTTCTTGAACCTTACAAGCGAAACATGTGATCATAGTTCGATTTAAGTAAGGTTTTTAATTCGCAGCAGAAATTTAAAATTTTAATCAGACTTATTAGGAATTTCTTCGTTCGAAGAAACGGCTAATTTTGAGAGGACATGTGACCATTGAATCAATAAGATAGATAGTTGATTTATGAGCAAAGTTTATTTCAAAATTTATTAGCAGCAATTGTGAGTCCACATGTCAGTGGCAAGCTTTGTTTCTGAAAAGGCCGCCTTGCAGTGAACACATTTCCACTTTTTGGTGCTGCAAAGTCGATGCTCCTTGACGGTGATGTGAGAAAGTGGCGAATCGAACGTCGTGTTGCACTCCTGACACGTGTAAGTAATTGCCTTCTTCAGCTGTTCCGCGAATTTCAGGTACGGTTCCCCATCAGTAAACCCGGCTTCCGCATTGACGTAGCCAAGGATCGGTCGGAAGTAGCGATCAATTGTTTCGATGCTTGCCGTATTGGTATCGATTGCGCTTATCAGCTGGAGATTTAGTTCAGGGTTAATAACTTCCTTAACAAACATGTACATTTCCTCATCTCCGAGTTCCTGAGCGATGTCTTCGTTTATGATTCGGTAGTACTTGTAACTAGACAAAAAGCAACTGTACGTGATTTGAAGCTCCTTCATTTCATATTCTGACAAATCCTTTCTTGTTTGCTGAAGTAGGAATATCAATGTGGATCGTTGGCGTTGGCTCATCATGAATTCGTATGTTTCGAAAAGGTTTATCAAAATGTCCACATACTCCAACGTGACGTATTGACCAACCTTTGAAGATTTCAACCTGTAAGGCTTATCTACTTTTTGAAACCACTCCAGACCATTCGGTTTACCATCATTAGCTCTTGGAATGCTTCTTACATTAACGATGTACTTTTCCGAATTTAATGCCACTTCTCTCGATAACTCCAAGAAGGGAAGGGTCAAGTTCAATCGTATTCCAGGCAAAAAAGGTAGATCCTTAAAACTGTCATCTGAACTGGTGCCAGGAGCTTCATTCTTTGGAGGACGGTAAAAAGCATTTAGTTGATTCGATTCCAACTCGAAATATAATTGTTCCAATTCTTTGTGCCCGATTGGTAAATCCAAATTTCCATTGGCATCGTATTGAAGGAATGGTTGGACAGTTCTCAGCATCACTGCACCTTGCAGAGAACCTTTCATGACTTTTTTGTTAGCAATCTCAGCAATTTTATCTCGGTGGCTCTTCAATAACTGCACCAGCTGATATTTGGACTTTGGATCGTTTGAATTGAAGTACTCTTTGATTTTATCGATAACATAATCCGATATCTCATTCATCGTTGCCGGTTTGATATTCAATGGCACTTTAATCTTAAGATCTTGTTCAATCGCTGGAAGCAAATATCGATTGGGCTTTTCGATTTTTCCCATGGTTTTCATGATTTCAAACAGTCGATAAATGTTCCTGGTTGCGTCTACAATATAATACCGTAACATTTATTAAAGGTTTAATTAGAATTCTATGCACTATCCTATCGTTATGTCATTCTTGGCATGTACAGCGTTTTGTAAATCAACTGCTTTTACTTGTTGATAAATTTTTGCCCAATTCAAGAACGAGCGTATTTTATGTTATGTACATAGGGTAAGTGTGCCAGTTTTTGGCCTATTTTAAATTTCAATACAAGGTTAGAACATAAACTGTACCATATAGGGGAAATGGATGTAATGTCGGCCTAAATACCCATCATTTGGGCCCATACATAATTCAGCAATCGACTAAATTTTTAATAGCGACCAAAAATATCCATGAAGCGTTCATCTAGATAAAATTGATAAATAGTTGACTTTTAGCGATGGGTCCAATCTTAGATCCATTTCCCCTATCAATAAACAATACAGATTTAGGCCCTGAGGCCAAAAACTGGCACACTTACCCTACTAGATAGGGTTGCAGCAAAAGCGAGTGGAAATTCGTTTCTGTGACAAGCATGGCCCTAAAAAAAAAACGGCAATAGATACTCACATTGATTCGGAATGTCCTTATGAGGCAAGATGTGATTTTTTAGCTTCAATCGGATTCCGCTCGATTTGTCCGAAGGCGCGTCCCCATCAAAGTCTCCGGGGATGTCGAAATGCCGCGTACAGCAATAGACTCGGCCCTTCTGAAGTGCGATGCCCATAGCATCGCACCATTCGGTTTTCCGTTCCGGGTTTTGAGGAACTTTCAAAAAGAAAAGATATGGACACGTTTTCGAGTTGGCAACGCATCCATCGACAACGCAAGTTTTAATAGCATTTTTATCTTGACTTTTATCACCATTCATTTTAATTGTACTTTTGATCCTGAATTTATTGTTTGTGGAATATTAATAAACTGCCAGGACAACGACAAACAAAATGAGAGCAGCCGGCAACGCTGGCTGCGTCCTGACGTAATCAACAGAATTAGGGATGTGTGAGAGCTTCACGATTCATCGATCTTATCGATTAATATAAAAAAAAAGTCGATGGATTACCCCTAATATACACTGATAAATTAAACTATTCTCATTTTGATTAAAATTTAATCTATTTGACATTAAACTAAGTTCAACGGTTCAACCATAGAGGTAACTCTAAGACCACTGGGTCCCGAAGAAAATCATTATTATTTTTGGCTCACTCAGTACCAGAACAACGGTCCCAAGCAGTCCCAAGCTATTTCACTCACCCCTGCATGTTCTGCATGAATCCACACACCCCTGATGTTATCTGTCAAACTTTCATAGCGAATCAAAACAAACATAGTGTAGTATTAGAATTTCAACTAGAATAGGGTACGTTAATCGTTTGCTTGGGACCAATAGGCTACTAAAGTGGTGAGCCAATTTAAAATCGTTAGTTTCGTATTGATTGTTGGTTCAACCATATCGGATGATTAAAAATTAATAATTTCTTGTTAAAAAAACATCTGATATTAAACACTGTTTAATCATGGTTGATTCAACTGAAAGTTATCGTGTTTGAATAAATTGTAATCAATTTTGATTCTATTTTAATCATTTTAGGATGAACTTCAATCTTTCCTGATTATATATTAATATTTTAAAAGAATAATATCAACCGGTGGAAACTAACGATTTAAAATAGGTTCGCTACTTGACCAATAGCCTGGTCCCAAGTACATCTATAAGCGTACCCCATTCTAGTCGAAATTCTTGTACTACACTATGTTTGTTTTGATTCGCTAGGCAGTAGTCATGATAGAATAACTTCGAAATAATAACTTGTGATAAAAATTTGTCTTTTTAGTATTTTCAGGAATAATAATAAATAATAAGATTCGTTTGAATTGGTCACGTCGCGTCTACGAATCGCGTCTACCCTGCCCGTGGCCTAAGACCAGAAGGTCCCGAAGAAACGGGCTCAAATTTTTTTCTCAGCTCTGGTACTATCTTCGGTCCCAAGCCAATCGATGCACCCCTCGAGACATTGGAAAATCCACGAACCCCTCATTTTATTTGTCAAACTTTCATAGCGAATCAAAACAAACATAGTGTAGTGCTAAAATTTCGACTAGAATGGGATACGTTAATCGATTTACTTGGGACCAATAGGCTAGTCAAGTAGTGAGCCAATTTATAATATTTGTTCCCACCGGTTGGTAAAGCAGTAAGCCAATTTAAAATCGTTAGTTTCCACCGGTTGGTATTACTCAGATTGGGTTTTTCCGCTGCCGCTGCCATTCCATTTCCGCTACACAGAAAAAAAAGTTGTTGAATATTACATCCAAACTGCTGCAACCAGGTCAATCCATCGGTTGTGTAATATAACGTTGTACGATGTACATCGATTTTGCAAACAAAATTACATCCATTGATGTAATATTGTATCTGCTTTTTGCTATTACATCATTATTTCATACATCAGTTTGAAGTACATTGATCGATATTACATTTTTTTTGCTGTGTATACTCACTTTAGCTTCAGCAAAAAAAAATAGTTTGTTATTGTTAAGGCCGACGCACAATGGATAAGTTTTCAGGTTTTTTGACAGTTATCCCATGCATTATCAGTCAAAAACCCCGGAAACTTATACATTGTGCGCCAGCCTTTATCCTCACTTCGGATCATCACTACTCGTGCGCACATAATGGACTATATTCTGTTTTGAACTGACCGTTTGAGCCAAGTCCTTTGTTACGTTTTTTTTTCTTCATCCAATGAATACCCGAGTGAATACCCTCACGGAGAAAAAAAATACTTCCCAAAATTTGAGTTGTTTTTACTTCGTTTTGAGTTGAGAGCCTCTCACTTGCACTCGTTTATTGGTGTCAAAAAAGGAACAAGACCCAACGATATAGTCGAGGATATAGTTCAGCCCAATAATTTACTTTTGCTATCTTTGTCTCTCCCACTTTATTTCTTATAAGTCATCGCACTCTCATACGCTCTTACGTCACACCCCACAAACGAGACGAACAACCCGAAACAAATACCTCTCTCGGGTTTCTATGTTCCGTTTTGCTTCGTATTTTCCGCCACACGAATTCTCTGTTGCATCGCATGTTCCCGTTTTTACTTAATAGAGCAGTGCAATCATCGATAGAAGTACAACATGTACTGAACAACATTGTAACTTTATTTTCGCTTCATTAACTGTGTGATCGAGCACTCAGCGGCTCGATATGTTCATTAATATTCTGGATTGTGAACACCAATAAAACAAGCATTTTTTTAACGAGTTCATCCCATCTACTACAGTGACGTCAAGAGGTAGGTCAATCCACACACTAATCTTGGATCATCTTTTTTGTCGGTGTGCCGATTGTGCCGGTCATAGAGCAAACTTCGATTTTTTGTAAAATAACCATCCCGGCAACCCGGTATTTCTGACACCTTGAATGTTTTGGTTTGAATCGCAAGAGTAAATTGGATTGAGGATGACGGGGGAGGTGGCGGGTGTGCAAAATTTTGGTGTTTTGTGTTATTAGTATAATAAAGGTCCTGTGTTTTAGGGTTTTATAATGCCCTCAAAGGCAGACCATAAACCTAGCCTAGAAAGAGCTGGAACCGGTGGGAAACATTGTTGGAGACCGACTGTAGAGAATGATGAGTATGGCTTCTGTAGTTTGTTGTGTGAGTTGCAGCATTATTTGAATTAAGGGTACTAATGGGGTCTGATTAATTGCCTCTTTCTCTTGAGCTCACTCTAGAACCTACATTTCGTATTTAGGTCCAAATGGTGAGCTTGCTGTCGCGCACAAGAATTTCAAGGACCGAAAAGTTATTATAGAAGCCATTCATATTCCATTGGATTCCATTGGGGCTTCCGAAAGTCGGGTGTCGCGTGATAAGTGATGAATAATCATCTCTTGGCAAAATGTTGGCCAGAGGCGATTGGCTCTGGGCAGTCGAAGATTGTGCTGGACAGGGGCTGGAATCTGCTCGCATACCGGAGGGAGGCATCAAATAGGAACTCACATGCAATGGGATAGCCTTCTTGCTGCGTGATCTGGCTGATATTGGCGTCGGTGCTTTCAGCTTAGATGCGTACCTCAGTACACAGAAAAAAAAGTTGTTGAATATTACATCCAAACTGCTGCAACCAGGTCAATCCATCGGTTGTGTAATATAACGTTGTACGATGTACATCGATTTTGCGAACAAAATTACATCCATTGATGTAATATTGTATCTGCTTTTTGCTATTACATCATTATTTCGTACATCAGCTTGAATTACATTGATCGATATTACATTTTTTTTTTGCTGTGTAGAGCTCCACCGGCAGAAGCCAGACCAGATATCGGAACCGCTAAGTAATGGGTACACACAAAGAAAAACCGTTGCTAAAATTAAAAATACCATTGGTAGAATTGAAAGTTTGCATTGGTTCTTTTTGGTAGAAAGCGGTTAGCTTTCAAAACAAAAATCAGCTAACTGTCAATTCAAAAGCTCCTCGCATGCTACTTTTAAAAGTTGAAACTTTCAAAACGAATTGTAGAACTGTCAAATGAAAAACATGATAGTATTATAATTAAAAGTGGATTATTTTTGTATCAAATCAAACTTTTGTCATGAAAGTTTGGTAAAGTTGTAATAACATGTGCCGTTTTGAATCTATAATAAAAATATTTTCAATTAAAATACAAGCATTTTCAACATTGCAATATTAATTTTCATTTTAAATTCTAATAAATATTTATTCAATCGGTAGTAACAAATGTTTCATAAATTAATAAAGGACTACAACTATATTTATTACTACTATCCACATGAATACAAATATATTAATTATGCTGGGTTTCGGAAGACATCATCCGCAGGTTTTCAGTGAGTAGAAAATCGTTGTCATCGTATTGCGATATCACAAAGTTGCAGGTGGATTTTTTCGGCTGACTGTTGATTCTTGGGTTGATTTGGATTTATTCATTGGTAGATATCATCGTCTGAAAAAAAATCTAAATAACTTCACACAATAACATTGATAATTAAATACTTACAATTTTAACTAATGATGTCACAATGGATTCCGTAACCGACAATCTCGCCGACAATAGTAAAAATATTGCCTGAAATATCCAGCGGATTTAATGTTGATTTTCAGTTTCATTCCACACAAGGAACATGATTTGCGACTTTTGACGTTAAGGTTAAATTTAGCGGCAAATGCTGCCAGTGCTGCCAAAAACGTTGCTATGACAAGGTATTTTTGACAGTTAAACAATTTTCATTTTAAAATATGCGCTTTTAAAAGTACAAGTCAAAAGTGAAAAATACACTTTCAAACCAAACCAAATACTTTTGTTTTAAAAACTTTCATGGTTAAAACTATCAAAGCTGGGAAACTTTTATTTTGAAAACGCATGATTTTTATTGATAAAATTTTTGTTTTTTGTGTGTAATGGTAATGGTGAACCGAGAAGTGAACTGCTGGTCTGAGTTCCTCTGGTATATCCAATTATAGGATGTTCCTGAATATACAGTCAATCAGCATGTAATTTGTATTTGTGTTTGTATTTCTATTTGTATTTAAAATAATCCATCTAACAATTTAGTCTTAATGAATAAAATTAAAGTTAATTTAACACAGACCTAATCCGATTTGCAAAACGTCCAGTTGGTTCATTGAACTCGAAAATCTCTTCGACAGCCGTAATCGCACGAATACACACGAATACATAATGTTAACTTCAATGACAGTTGTCCTGCAGTGCTCTTATTTTATTTACAACAATTCAATGCCTACGAGATTGTGCCGAAGGTGGGCCAAAGGTGTGCCGATGTATGTGCCCAAGTTGTACCAAATCTAATTTTGCACAATGTGCTGTGAGTGACTTACCCCTTGAGTGACGTCACTAATTGCTTGTATCGTACAGGGGTTTTACTCACACAACTTAACCGATTTCTTCACCTCGGTAATCCAGCTCATTGAGTGTACATCGGCTGAATATTTTTCACAGTTCAGTGGTACTGTTTACAGGCACTTAATCGTTTTTTCAAAAAAAAAAAAAATGTTTTAAAATTTCCGAATTTTTACTTGAAAATTGTCGAGGAACAGTGCGGTGAAAAAATGCTGCTCGTGGACAATGCAGAAATGCGGCTTACATCTCACTGCAGTCTGAAAAATTATTGAGAAAATCTCCCAAGAAAAAATCGACTAATAGTACGTTCAGACTACAGAGTTATAACATGTTATAGGGCTATCTTGATGGTGGTTTCTGTGTTGCAATTATTTGACAACCGTTATAACATGTTATAACTCTCCAGTCTGGACGGCGTTTAAGTCCACGTAAACAGTACACAGCAAAAAAAAAAAATGTAATATCGATCGATTAATTCAAGCTGATGTATGAAATCAGTGCTAACATTTGAAAACGGCGCAAAAGCCATTTGTAAACAAATGGTTTGTGGGCCCTTTACTCGCTACCCGAAGAACGCCCACGCAAACCAACAGCATCGTCAGGAAGGGGAAAATTTCCCCTACCCGATGTTGCTGTTGTGTCGCGTGGGTGTACTTCAAGTAGCGAGTGAAGGACCCACAAACCATTTGTTTACAAATGGCTTTTGTGCCGTTTTCAAATGTTAGCACTGAAATAATGATGTAATAGCAAAAAGCAGATACAATATTACATCAATGGATGTAATTTTGTTCGCAAAATCGATGTACATCGTACAACGTTATATTACACAACCGATGGATTGACCTGGTTGCAGCAGTTTGGATGTAATATTCAACAACTTTTTTTTTTTTAATATTGTATCTGCTTTTTGCTATTACATCATTATTATTCATACATCAGCTTGAATTACATTGATCGATATTACATTTTTTTTTGCTGTGTAGCATAAACATACCGTACGCAGCCATTTAGGTGAGTTGCCCTTTTCATCCAGCCCCTACTGTAGCAACGTCAAATGACGGACTTGCTCGGTCGCGGATGTAAAAACAAACGCAAGCAAAAATCGCCATCACGCGTCGTAAATAATTTTCCGTGAATTTCGCTTCCAATCCCGTGCAAATTTGGTGTAAATGTAACCGAGGTTGGTGAGAAACCGGGCACAATGGCACCAACTATCCAAAACGGCACAAATGCGGCCGACAAACGCGGCGCCGTGGCTCGTCCGCAGGAAAGAAGGTAAGTGGTTGTTAGTGCGGTGCAGAATTTAACTACTGGAGTTCAATTTTTTTTTTCTTTCGCCCATTTGCTTTCGCTAGGTCCGAGCTGATCAGCAGGGTAAAATACTGCAATACGCTGCCGGATATTCCGTTCGATCTGAAGTTTATAACGTATCCGTTCGAGAATGATCGTTTCATCCAGTACAAGCCGACGTCGCTGGAGCGGAACTATCGGTATGAAGTGTTGACCGAGCACGATCTGGGAGTAACGATTGACTTGATCAACCGGGATCTGTATCAAATCGATCACCTGGCTCAGTTGGATCCGGCCGATGAGAAGCTGCTGGAGGAAGACATCCATACGCCACAAGATTCGCTGCGTAGTAGTCGGCATGCCAAGTCGGTTTCGTGGTTGCGAAAGTCGGAATATATTTCGACGGAACAGACCCGCTTCCAGCCGCAAACGATGGAGAAGGTCGAAGCGAAGGTTGGTTTCAACGTGAAGAAGAGTTTGAGGGAAGAGACGCTCTACATGGACAGGGAAGCACAGATTAAGGCTATTGAGAATACGTTCGAAGACAATAAGAAGGACATCACCACTCACTACAGCAAGCCGGGAGTTACTGCGGTGGAGGTTCTACCGGTGTTTCCGGACTTTGCCAACTGGAAGTATCCTTGTGCTCAGGTTATTTTCGATTTCGATCCAGCCCCGGCAGGAAAGAACGTTCCGGCGCAGTTGGAGGAAATGTCTCAGGCTATGATCCGTGGTGTTATGGACGAAAGTGGTGAACAGTTTGTGGCATACTTCTTGCCCCAGGAGGAAACACTGGAGAAGAGACGTCGCGATTTGGTTAATGAGGTCCTCTACGAGGATGAAGAGGAGTACGAGTACAAGATGGCTCGCGAATACAACTGGAACGTCAAGAGTAAGGCTTCCAAGGGTTACGAGGAGAACTACTTTCTGGTTCTTCGTCAGGATGGAATGTACTACAATGAGCTGGAGACACGTGTACGGCTGAGCAAGCGTCGGCAGAAGGCAGGACAGCAGCCGAACAATACCAAACTGGTGGTCAAACATCGTCCGTTGAATGCTTCTGAACATCGTATGCAACGTTACCGCGAACGCCAGTTGGAACCACCAGGCGAAGAGGACGACGAAGATGTCGAGGAGGAAGAGGAAGAAGAGGAGGACATGGAAGAAGAGATTCAAGAAACTCAAGACGAAGACGAGAAAAAGGTCGAGGAAGGCGAAGAGGATAAGGACGAAGATGCAAGAAGCCGTTCCAGATCCCGTTCTCGCAGTGGATCCGAACGATCCCGTTCGGGCTCACGCTCACGGTCTGGATCGCGGTCCCGTTCCGTATCGCGTAGTCGGTCACGTTCGGGCAGCCGCCAGAGTCGCTCGCGGAGCCGCAGTCGCTCGAAATCCGGCAGCCGTAGTCGCAGTGGTTCCCGCTCGGCTGGATCAAGATCGCGATCGGGCTCGCGAAGCCGATCGGCGTCCAAGTCGCGTTCCCGTTCGAAATCAAAGTCTCGGTCCCGTTCCAGATCTGGATCCCGCTCGCAGTCAGCTGGGTCGAGATCGCGTTCCGGCTCAAGAAGCCGTTCAGGAACACCAGCTTCCAGCAAGGGAGGATCGCGTAGTCGCTCGGGAAGTCGTTCCGGAAGCGAACAACGGTCCGGAAGTGGTTCGGAATAAAGAAGAAGAAGAACCAATGAAAATGAACGTGTGCTTACGAAAGCAACAAGTAGTAGTTTCACTTTCTATCTTAATGTGACGTGTAATATTCATTACGGATATTGGTAATAAATTACTTTAAAGCAATATTTCTAAGATTTGCGGATGACAATAATTATACTTGATTCTTTCGGCAAAGGACACCATGGTGGGTGGTGGTGGTGCTGCAGTTTTATCATTCCCCCTTATTCTGCGAGTCACGTGACTCCATTTCAAGCTGAACTTGAATTGTATTAGGTCCTAACTGCCGCTATTCGCATAACATTCCCATGTCCTATGGATTTCCTATCTACATAGGACTGTTATGCGAATAGCGGCAGCTAAGTAACATTGATCGATTCTTTTCGTCGACTTTCTCTTTCGTTAATAACTTTAGCACATAACTGTTTCTTGTTGTGTTTGTCATATTAGGTGCTAGATAAAAGCTTCTTTTATCGATCTGTGTGCCGAAAATACCTGAGAATATATTTACATGGCCGTAGGAATACAAAGAGAAAGTTGACGAAGAGAATCTGTCCATGTTACTTAGGACCTAATGCAATGTTCAGCTTGATTTGATTTGCTTGTATTGGTACGATATGCGAAAGCGTGTTAGCAACACCTACACGGCGAATGAGAACGACCCAAATTTGAGTTTAGTTCACTCATAATCGCCAAAAGTGCAGGAACGCAGCGAGGAGTTAAATTTGTCTCATGGCTTCCTGTGGAAAACCTAAAAAATCTGCCGGAAAATGAGGAAATAAACGAAAATTTTATTCAGTCTCGGAGTAGTACCAATAGACTGAGTGAATCCAATCTTTACTTTTCTCAAATTCAGGATTTTTCCCTGGAAAAACATGAGGCAAATTTACTAATCGCTGAGTTCCTGCACTTTTGGCGATTATGAGTGAAGTAAACTCAAATTTGGGACGTTCTCATTCGCCGTGTAACTTTTATGAAGGTGTCAATCGCAAGGGGGGGGGGGGGGGAGGTGGCTGTCAAATACGAACAATCGTCGCCTACCTCGCATAACTGGTTCCAAACGTAAACAAGCCATAAGAAACCTACGAACCAGTTTCATACAAGATGATCAGTAGGCTGATTTGACAGCACATCCCCTCCCAGGTCAATCGTCGTATGCATGGTGGGTATATAAATGGTGATACAGCTTTGTCACTATATAGGCGAGGAGGTCGCGGGGGGGAAAAGTGCGGTTTTAGAGCAAATTGTAAACAAACTCGGTCGCTGTCCCATACAAAAATCCAACATGGCTGAATCATGAATTTGACACATTAGAACACCTATATGTAGTCACCTTGGTCGTATGTAACAAATTAGACAGAAGCGTAATAACTGTACATACGAAAACCTGGGGGGGGGAGGGGGGTACGTGCTGTCAAATCAGCCTACTGATCATTCTTGTATGAAACTGGTTCCAAACGTAAACAAGCGCTGTAGGTTTCTTATGGCTTGTTTACGTTTGGAACCAGTTATGCGAGGTAGGCGACGATTGTTCGTATTTGACAGCCACCTCCCCCCTTGACGAAAACAGAACACCTCGTTTCTTTAATTATTACTATTTCTATTATAGACAAAAATGTTACATACGACCCAATCTAATAGGACTTCAGTAGGCCACCACCTCGCTTTTCGTAAAAAATCTGCACGGCCAATCAGAACGACTCAGCGACTGAATTCAATTGACTCAGAGCATTTTCTTTCCATATGAAAATTAATCATATTTGGGAAAACTTGCAGGAACTCATAGCATGAGCAACTCAGTGCCAACATTTCAAAGGGGCGTAATTGCATTTGTAAACAATGGCTTTAGAAGTCGATTTCTCGTGAATGAAAGCTCACTCATGAAAATGAATGACACCAGCACGTAGAGGGATGTTTCCTGTACCAGCTAGTATTTGTAATCTAGAGGGGTGGGCTTTTATTTGCGAGAAATCGACGACTAAAGCTATTGTTTACAAAATCAATTACGCCCATTTGAAATGTTGGCACTAAACTGCAGGTTTTTGTCAAATATGAGTAAATTTCGTATGGAAAGAAAATGCTTTGGGTCAATTGAATTCAGGCACTGAGCGTTATGATTGGCCGTGTGCTCCAATATGAAGAAAATCGACTAGGATAAACTAACGTTTTTGCGAATTCGAGTGACTGAAACTCTATTTAAGTGGATTTACTCACAAAGTGAGTAAAATTGTCCTCGATTTTCCAGGAAAAACTTCTCGAATATTCACGACCCAAATTTGAGTTTAGTTCACTCATAATCGCCAAAAGTGCAGGGACTCAGCGATGAGTAAAATTTGTCCTAAAAAATCTGCCGGAAAATGAGGAAATTGACGAACATTTTATTCAGTCTCGGAGTAGTACCAATAGACTGAGTGAATCCAATCTTTACTTTTCTCAAATTCGGGAATTTTTCCCTGGAAAATCCTGGAAAAACCTGCGAAAACATGAGGCAAATTTACTCATAGCTTAGTTCCTGCACTTTTGGCGATTATGAGTTTTAGAATTTGGGTCATTCTCATTCGCCGTGTGGGGAAAATCGATGAGGTTTAGTACACGGTAACCGCAAAATACCCAATAATGACTACAAAGTAAGCATTTACGAGGGAAACTGGGATTACCCATTGAATGAGTAAAATTTTACCCATTTATGAGTAATTACAACAACAAAAACAAGAAGTAAGTCAGTGCCAACATTTCAAAGGGGCGTAATTGCTTTTGTAAACAATGACTTTAGCCGTCAATTTCTCGCGAATGAAATCTTACCTCTCCAAAATTACAATGCTAGCTGGTAGAGGAAACATTCCTCTACCTGCTGGTGTCATTATTTTTCATGAGTGAGCTTTTATTCGCGAGAAATCGATGGCTAAAGCCATTGTTTACAAATGCAATTACGCCCCTTTGAAATGTTGGCACTGAAGTATTCATTTTTGAATAACAAATCAGTGCTAACATTTGAAAACGGCGCAAAAGCCATTTGTAAACAAATGGTTTGTGGGCCCTTTACTCGCTACCCGAAGAACGCCCACGCAAACCAACAGCATCGTCAGGAAGGGGAAAATTTCCCCTACCCGATGTTGCTGTTGTGTCGCGTGGGTGTACTTCAAGTAGTGAGTAAAGGGCCCACAAACCATTTGTTTACAAATGGCTTTTGTGCCGTTTTCAAATGTTAGCACTGAAATACTCGTAAATGGGCAATATTTTTACTCAATTAATGGGTAGTCCCAGTCTCCCTCAAAAATGCTTACTTTGTAGTCATTATTGGGTATTTTGCGGTTACCGTGTATACTCCTAGACTGAGTAAAATTTTCACGGATGTTCCTCATATTCGAGAAGTTGAGTCGACTCGAGTTAGTTTGTACGACCGTGTTTCATTTAAACTTTATTTATGTTCCGCCTGAAGTGTACATTTAGGTGAAAAAGAAAAAGCTAACTGTTTGATTTTTTCAGCCTAATAGATATGCAACCATGTGGTATCGTTGAGTCCGTCCTTCCATAGATGACGTAGAATATTTTTAACCAATTTTCAGGGTGGCAAATTGGGAGATTTCAGTGAAAGCTCAGCGCTGATGATTAAAAAGTGTTAAAAATCTCAGTAAATTACATAAATCGGGAGTTATTGTCATTGGTATTACGTGACCTTTGAAGTTCAGGAGATTCCGGAACGCAGCAGAGGAAGAGGACAAACTTCAGCTGACGTGGAGAAGCAGAATTACATTTCAGGAGTGGAAAATGAAAGAAGAAGAAAACTTCGAATAAAACGGATCCAAGGGACACTTCGTGCTGCTGTCGAGGCCAGCCTGGTTATTAGTGTTATATCCGTAGCCAAGGCCAACAAGTAAAACAAGCTGTTGTTAAGAGCTACTATTTATTACGTCTATCTTGGTTGGTGGTCGGATAAAGAACTCTAACTCTCTCTAACTAATGACAGTCAGGCAAGGCCTACTACATCTAGGCCTATTACATCTCCCCCTTTTAGAAAATGTCATAGGAAGAGAGCCATCTTGGAATTCTTGATTCTCGTACAGAACGTCGAATAAAGTCTCCAACTGCTTCAGATGATACGGGCTTTTGTGCGGACTGAAGTTCTCCATCTTGAGCAGCAGGTTCATGATCGATTGTCTAAAAAGGATTTTCGCCAGACGTACTTGCCACTTGACCATCAGCTTCGAGTGATACGGAACCAACAGGAATAGGGACATCGTGATTGAATGGCACTTCTTGATCCAACGGTACAGCTTCATCTTGAATTTCATCAAGCAGGATTTCCCATGGTAGTTGCTGCGTCGCTTGCTCTGGATCATCAGAAGTGTGACGAGGGCGCATTTGGTTTACATGCGACCTCACCAGCTTCGGTCTCCCGTTCATGTCCAGTGCAACGATATAGTTGACGGAACCTTTCCGTTCGATGACTCGACCAGGAATCCAGGACTTGGCGTTTCTGCGATGCTGTTCAACGTAGACCAGGTCATCTTCTTCAAACTCGCGCTTGACTGCTCCATGCCGCCAATTGAACTGTTCGTTTTGTTTGTGGTTCTTGACATCTTGACAGCTTCAGTTACAGGAACAGGTTTCTTCAGTAGGTCCAAAGTGGTGCGCACTGGTCTTCCGAGGAATGCTTCTGCTGGAGACGTCGACTGCGGTGTGTTTCGGTTTGGGATTGAACGATACACCGAAAGGAATATCTGCAGGTGCTCCAGTGTGGGTGATCCTTCCCCCTTGGCTAGCTTCTTGAGGCCACGCTTGAGTGAATCAACGAATCGCTCCGCTTGGCCGTTGGACTGCGGGTGGTAGGGAGCAGTGCGGAGATGGGTGATACCATTTGCATGGCAATACTATTGAAACTGCTCGCTGGTGAATTGCGTTCCGTTGTCTGAGACCAATGTGTCTGGGTTGCCGTAACGAGAAAACGTTTCACGCAGCATATTCAGGGTTGCAGTTGTGGTAATGATTGAGTGCGAAAAATTTCGGGCCACTTAGAGAAAGCATCTACCATGACGAAATAGTAGTATCCATGGATCGGACCAGCAAAATCGATATGGACACGTTGCCATGGCTTGTCCGGGAGAGGCCATGACTCCAAGGT